TATCTATGCTTCTTTTTCTATGTCTGCTTATAGAATATAATTAAATAGATTATCCTAGAATATATAGAGGTGGGTTTGCCGATATGGTTTCTTATTAATAAATGTATTTCTTCCTAACATGAATGGCCCCTTGTGACGTCATCCGTCTAAACCCTAAACTCCAGCCATGGTCTCTGATCTTCATCAGTGAAAACATTGGGAGCCAGTGAGGAAAGCAGCGGACCTGGAACCGGACCGCGGGGCCCGGAAGGAGCGGCGGTTCGCTCCGGTTCTGGGAAAACCGACCCAAACCCGGAAAACTGGGAAACGAGTCAACAAAGCGCACACAGGAACAGGAATGATCCACTTCGCGTCTACATTTCAAAACTTCATCCGAATCCAAACCGCTTGAAGCCTCAGAGTTCCGGTCCGGTTCTGGAAAGGTTCGGTTTGACCCGGAGCGGGAGGCAGACCGCAGCGGACCGCCTTTGTTAGCCGAACCGACATTAGCCGAACCCCCCCCACCCACCCACCGCGGCCAGGACCGGACCGGACCGGACCGGACCGGGCCACCATCCTCATCCTCACCTGGACCGTAAATGATGATGATGAAGATGATGATGATACCGTCGGACTCCAAGCAGGCCTCGCGCTCTTCCTTTCCTCAGCTGCTTCTTCTTCGGTCTCTGAAACCTGAGGGGGACTTCTGGAAAGTGACGTCACTACTGGCTTCCTGCTCGGCGTTGGCGCAGTAAGCCACGCCCCCCATGGGTCACATGAGCTGTGACTCACCACTGTTTACCTGACCAGAGGTATGGCAGGCCGAGTTGACATTTATTAGCTTGAATATGTAATCCAGATGTCTCTATTTCTTCCTATCTAAAATAAACATTTCTAATATCTAAAATGTAGTTTCTTACTAGTACAAATGACGTCACGTTTCCCATTCATGTGGATTGGGTTTTTACTTGCAGATATCTAAAATAACTTTCTTCCTATCTAAAAATGAATTCTAATGATGATGAATTTTAATTTCAGATCTGAATAATAGAGTTACTGCTGATCATAGTTACAATTCCAGATATTAGTATTTGTAGGGGGGATGACAGTGATCAAAAACAGTAACTCGCCCTCCAAAGGGTTAAGCTGTTTCACAGAAACTCCAGCCTTTAGGTTGGAGTTGGCAAACTGGTGTCAAACTGGGACCAGTCCTGGGGAGAACCTCCACACTGGCGTCTTTTTCCAGCCCCATCATGACAACAGTAGACGACTACAGACTGTCTCCCATTCCAGAATGACATCATCACAGCTGGTTTGTTTAGTGAACAACTGAACGGTTCCTTTAACACTGAGAAAGTTCTTTGGAGGTCAAATAAAATATATTCATATAAAACAAAGAAAGTAGGAAGAGGAAATCCTAATAAGCAGAACAATCAGCTGCAGAGCATGCAGCACTGCTGCCCTGCAGCAGGAAGGTCTCCGGTTTGATTCCCAGCCGAGGGTCATGGTGTAAATGTGTGGGTTCCACTGATCTCTATTTATTCCCTGGATTGCTGATTGCTCTTTGGTAGTACGGGTTGAAGTGAAGCCACCGGCCGCCATATTGGCAATCCCTAGTTAGACCGGTCTCAATGTAAACAATCTGTGCTCTACAGCATCGAACAACCATGATGTTCTCATTTTCAGGGACTGAAGACTTTTAAAATAAAGATAAATTGCTCACTCTGACACAGACTGGCTGTTTCAGAGCATCAGTAGATTAACTTTAACTTAGAATAAATAAATCGGCCAATCACATTGCAGAGTCATTATGACGTCCATTAATCAGGTAATATAACATGTTATACAATCCATCACAATAACATTAATGTGGAGCAGAATAATACAGATGAGCCAAAAGTGATAAACTGATGATGTTCATGTAATAAACATGGATTGAT